AAGTGGGCAGAGCCCAAGCCAAAAGTGGGACAAGCTATGTATGTGATTCTTACCTTTGCACAGTAAGCTATATTCCAGCTATGCCAAAGTCAGATGTTTCTGCACATAAACCTCACCACCCAGGCAAGCAAGAGGCATTATCACAATTCAAGAACACATTCCAGCTAGGCCCAAGCAGCTGAAGAGCATATGAAGCAGGGGCAAGGAGGGTTGTGGCCTGGGGAAAGTCCTAAGGGCCAGGTAAAGAGACCTGGGGGCCACATTTGGCCACAGGCCTGAGGACACCCATTCCTCCTGCATAGTTCTGTATATGACTCTCCTTCCTTGGAGGTTTTTAGGCAGAGGTTGGATGGCTATCTGTCAGGGATGCTTTAGCTGAGATTCCTGCATTGCAGGGAGTTGAACTAGATAACCCTTGGCGTGACTTCCAATTTGATGATTCTATTATTCCCCAAATTAGGGAAACTACTTCCTGTGGCCACCTTGGCTCGTTGCAAAGTGAATCACTAGAACCAAATCAAATGAATAATAATGTAGTACGGGATTTTTCTTCTCCTTCTCCAGAGCACAATATAGCTGAGTTTCCGGAGTAATCCTACAATGATTTATCTGTTGTTCACACCCTCGTGGGACTGCAACAGAAAGAAATGCCACAGGTAAATATAATGTCTCCGAATTCTAAAGGGTATCTTCTCTACAGAGAGGAGAGACTGAAAATTTAGGAATATCTCATCCATTCAGAAGGTCATCTAAAAGTCTGTGCATGGATGTAATGATACAAAGATGAAGCAGAACTGCCATCTTGTGATTGAAAGCTGCAATAAAATCTGTACAATTTGGAGTATAGAGACACAGAAGGTGTTTCCCCCCCCCTTACTCCCCTCTATGTTTAAAATTCCTTTTGAAACATTCAAAGCACAGTTTGTTCAACTGTGAATAAAAGCTGAAGGAAATGTGGTCTGTATGATGTACAATGTTACCACTCTGCTCCTTGGTCAAGGCATATCTTCACTGTGATGTCCACGGTGAAAGATCCAAACATCCACTTCAGTGGTGATCAAAACACAACAGCAAATGCAAGATGTAGCATTTTGCTGCCTTTAAATCAGGGGTAGGGCACCCAAGGACTGCTACTCCTTCTGGGCAAGCTCCCAGGAGCCACATGTCGATGGTGGATGAGGCAAAGGGGAATGAGGCAATGAATGAAAACCTGCCTTGTAGGAATGATCGCTGGGTGCAGAGCACACTCCCCGTCTGCGGGCAGCCTCAGCTGTCTGCATGCATGACCTTGGGGTACGGGGCACACTCCCCCTCACAGATAAAGCCACAGCTGTCTGAACATCTTGCCCTCTGTCTAACCTTTTGCGGTCTCAGTAGTCTGCGGTGTCCTGTCTGTGATCTTTGTCTCTGAGACCTTTGTCTCCTTCGTCATACACTGTGCAGGGGGAAAATGACACGGTGGAAACAGGTGCCAAAATAACTTTGTACCACCCCACGATCTCGGGACTGGAAGATGTGTAAAGGTCTCAGCCCAAAATGTATCTGCCTGGGTTTGCATATTGTGTCAATAAAAGGAGCCTCCACAGAGCTGGCCGGCAGCTTGCTTGCAGCTCACCTGTGCGCAGCTCACCTGCATTATCAACTCCTGCCTCATGTCCTTCACTTCACTGCCTTGTACGGGAGGCTGGTTTCTACACCAGGAAGAAACATGGGCTGTGGAAAGAAGGGTGACCTAGGGAGAATCCCAAAGGCCCGATAGACAGACATGGAAAGCTGCATTTGGCCCCTGGAACTGAGATTTTCCACCTTTGTCATAAATAGCATATCAAAATCAGCACTCACCCTGGATGGTGGTTTTCATTTGTTTATTTATTACAGTTAAATCATGCTTTCCTTTCATCATGGAACTCAAGGTGGGATACACTGGGTTGGCAGTGGGGTTTCCCACCCAGACAATGCCCAGTCTAGGACCTGCTTAGCTTCACCAAGGTGCTTGGCTTAAATTCCTTCAAACTATGCACTGAGGACACAGCAAACCACAATTCTGCAAAAGGTTATCAGTACCAGATTTTTAAAAAAAAATCTGAAGAAGGGTTTCATTTGCAGAAATAACAACATGGACTTCCAGCTTCCAGTCCTGCCAATTCATTGGTCATAAATCTAAGAAGGTTGGCATGCAATAGGGTTGCCATATTTTGAAGAGCAAAAAAAAAGAGGACACATTTGCCGACTTCTACTTTTAACTATGGATCGCTATGACGACTCTACCCATGAAAGAAAGGATGTGCCCTGGAAAAAGAGGACATATGGCAACCCATGTAAACCTAAGCTGCCATGGTGACTGAATCAGCTGAGTGTATGTATAACCAGAAGCATTCATCCAGCCAGCATTTTGTTCTGCTTAATTAGAGGAACTATTACCGTATGATAAATACTTTTTAGAGCAGTGGTGTTGAATCAGTGTCCCATAGGCTAGAAATGACCCATGAGTACTCACTCTCTCCATCGTCAGTTCACAATGTTTCTATGTTATCTGGTGAGAAAGAGGAGCCCCTTTCCTCACCTCACAGCACAGAAGCCAGCAAAAGTGTTGGAAAATGCCCATGGAGAAAGAAATTGCTCTCTCTGTATGAGAGAGAGTTGGGGTGAATGAGGTTTGTGTGTATGGATGGTGTTTTTATGTAGGTGTGTAAGAGAGAGATAATGAGGTCTGTAGGCTTTGTCCCTGCCCCTTTATTATCCCTGTCCATCCCTGGTGTGTTCACACACACCATGCAACATAGGAGCCAAATCCTTGGGGCTCAGCTCCCTTCAGCCCCCCACCCCAATAAAATATTTGAGGGAGCCAGCCCCCCACCCAAGTTGAAGGGAATTCCCATTCAAATGATGTGCGTTCACCATATCATTTCATCAATTATTCGGGGCAGGGCTTAGCTGAACCCCCCAATATTTTATTCAAGTTGGCACCTCTGCCATGCAATCATTTTCTTTTGAGGGAATGCAGGTCTCAAGGGTGAAAAATAATGTCTCTCACCCATACCTTGGGAGATTATTGCATCCTTGTTTAAGTATGTTCTTTATAGAGAACATTGAAACCACACAAAACATCTGCTGCAGACAAAGTAGATGCTAAAATCAAAACCATCATATGAAATAGTCACAGGACACATGGCATTTAAAGGAATTGTGTGTGTGTGTGTGTGTGTGTGTGTGTGTGTGTGGACAAAGTGTGCAGCTGGTGAACAACATTCATTCATAGAAAACCTTAAAAGATAAGAAGCAGCAGTATCTGGATGTAGTTGTTTGAGATAACAAGCGGGATTGTCAATCTACCACTTGAACTTTTTTTTTGTAATGACTATATATATGTATATGTATTGCAGGGTTGCTTGACATAAATGGGCTGCAGTCCAGAAGTATTTCTTATCATTTGGCAGCGGGGAGGGTGGGGGGTGGGGGAGAAACACTGACATTGAAATCGTTGTCAGCAGAGGTCATTTTTTCATACAGCAGCTTCACATTTCAGACTCGCCTCTTTTGTTTCTCAAGTCCTGCCTCTTAAATCCACAGTAAGGAGAGAAAATAAGGATTTCTCCTCAACACTGACACCACAGTGTATTGCCACAGGCTAATAAGGGGCCCTGTCTGCACTGTGCATTTAAAGCTGTGTCAGATTCCCTCAAAGAATCCTGGGAACTGTAGTTTGTTATAGGCGGTGAGACTTCTTCCCCTCAAAGAGCTAGTTCCCAGAGTTCCCTGTGAAGAGGGATTGATTGTTACAAACCTCTCTGAGAACGGTAGCTCTGTGAGGGGTTTCAAATTGTGAGGGTAGCCTCCTGACTACATTAGACTCCCTCCACTTCAGAAGTTCACACACACACACACACACACACACTGCAGGGACAAAGACAGAGACATTAGTGTGGGTGAGGAGCATTAGCTTGCTCATTTCTGCTTACATGCTGGTTTTACACATGATCTCAGAAGCAGGCCACCATCAACTGCGTACTGTTATGCTGCTGACTGACTATATGTCATTCGTTTGTTGCACAATAAGCTAGAATGGGCTGCTGACAGGTAATAATGGTTAGGAACTTTCTGTCCAATGAAATACCTGTTGGAAATATATTCTTCAGATATGCCCAGTGCACTAGCCCAGTGTATCAACACTTCAGAAAAAATCTGTCTTTTGTTGTTGTTGCCTATGCTGATGTTTCTTTCTGAAATATATTCAAATGTGTGTGTATTGCCTGTTGAATTCATTGTTAATGATTGTGTGTGTGTGTGTGTTTGTATGTGTGTGTGAGAGAGAGAGAGGGGGGGTGCTGTGTTGTGAGCTAACCTGTAAATACCTAGCATTAAGCACACAAAATTCCTTACTAACCTAGTCTGAGGATGCTTGTGGAATTAGATTTCATGGATTCTGATAATGTGAAGAATGCAACAGAATTTTCTGTTGGCTTTTAATTTTCACACATATTCCGATGCAGGTTTTTGCCTTTTTTTGGCGGGGGGGGACCAAAACTATGTCACGGCTAAAATGGCCGCTGTTTCTTTAATGCGAATAAAGCTGGGTCAGCATGACTCAGCGGCCTGCAGCAGGTTGTATATATAAGTGAGAAATGTTAGTTTGTGCTGAGGCTGGTGTTTGGGTTGGTTGGTTGGTTAGTGCTGGTGTGTATAGTTGTTCAGTTGTGTTTTGCACAAAGACTTTTAAGAATAAAACTCTACAAGGATATTCTTCTGGACTCTTTTATGCCGACAAGGGTCTGAGGGTCTTATGCCGACCAGGCTGAGGAGACAAAGGGAGGTCAGAACCCTTTCCTTCTTTTTTTTTGCTTTTTACAAACACTGACAGGTTATGGGCCCAGTGTTTCTGAGCATGTGCAGAGTGCAAAACGACTGACAGCATCTCAGCAGGGAGCTGGTGAGTCCTGGTGGTGTATGGAGCCAGTGGCTGTGCGTTGGAGCAGTTGGTGGCAAGCTGTAACTGTCTGCAGTGACGCTGGAGCGGCTAGGATCTGAGGATCAGGAAAGCACTCAGCGTCGGCTACTGGAACAGTTTGAACTGCTAGAGGACCACAGTAGGCGACTCACAGAGCGGCTACACCAGTTGCAGAGCCAGGCGGGACCTGAGGGTCAACAGAGGCAGCAGCTAGAAGCCGGTGAGTGCCAGCCAGGACCATCCAGTTGGACTCTAAAGAGAGAGTCAGGAGAGATTGCTGGAGGCCCCACAGAAGGGGCTCAGCAAGCACCAGCAGAGATGGCAGATTTCCAGTCTTCCCAAGTTGTAAATATTGGGGGAGGCATCCCTTTTGAACTTCTCTCAGAAAGCAACTGGCTGAGTTGGTCAATTAAAATGCAGCAGTTGTTAAGGAGAGATGGACTATGGGACTGTGTTGAAACTGAGGTTTTGAGACGGGACTCTGCTGAGAAAAAACGGCTGGATGAAAGGGCTCGTGCCCAAATTATGCTGTGTTTGAGCAACTCTCAGTTATTGCATGTAGCAAATGCCAGCACAGCGTTTGAGTGCTGGAATTTATTAAGGGCAATGCATGTCAGAGAAACTGCTGGAACTATAATTTCTCTGACCAGAAGGCTGTTCAGGACTGTTATGAAAGAAGGTGAGAGTTTGGCAACTCATCTTCAAACGCTGAAATCTCTGTTTCTTCAACTACAGCAGAGAGGTAAGCGTTATGATGAGACTGACCAAACCTACATTATCCTTTCAAGTTTGCCTGAAAGCTGGTTGCCCGTGATTAACAGCATGGAGAGTATGTGTCCCCGAGATCTGATCCTTGAGTATGTGGTTGGAAGATTGACCGAAGAAGCAGAAAGAAGGTCAGATAGACAGGCTGAACTCCAAGAACGGAGGGGTTACAGCTGAGGGGGCCAGCAGAATCTGCCAATGGAGCAACGCCAAGGTTTGGACTTGGCCATGGTGGTGAGGAGGTGCTATAGATGCAACCAACCCGGGCATCTCCAACGTCAATGCAGGGCAAGACTTCCAGGAGACGACGTGGAGCAGAGACAGCAATCGACGCAGAAACATAAGCAGAAGGGGTTCTCTTCAGGGAAGAAGAACACGCGTTCTGCTCAGTTTGTGTCTGCATTTTCTCGAGAGGAGAGAAAGATACCTCGAGGAACATGGTTGCTGGACTCTGGGAGCAGCAGGATTATCTGCAACAGTCGGGAGGACTTTAAGACCCTGGGGAAGCCAGCCGATGGAAAAGACTCAATCTATCTTGCTGATGGTCGTAGAAGCAAGATTGATGGCCAGGGAACATGTTTCCTGCAGTGCTTGAACACTACTCTACCAGAGACTCTGTTTGTTAGCAGTTTGGACTATTGTTTACTGTCTGTAAGCTGTTTGATTAATGCAGGGTATAGTGTTAACTTCACGCAGGATGGCTGTCTGATAAAGAATGGAACTCGGGTATGTGGCCATGCAAAGTTGAAAAATGGGTTATATGTAATGCAGGACAAGCCTGTTAAAGCAGCCCAGGTGGTTCAGGATAATTTACCAGTTCATAAGGAGTATGTACATGAACTGCACAGAAAACTGGGTCACGCCAATTTCCGTGTGCTTTCAGAGATGCAAAAGGTGTGCAAGAACCTAAAAGTAAATAGCTGTAACTGTTTCCTAGATTGCAATGTATGTAAAATGGCCAAATCTAAGAGGAAGCCTGTGGCTTCTAAAAGTGACAGAGTATCTAAAGAGGTTTTAGAACTTGTCCATTGTGATGTGATAGGCTCTTTCCCACAGAAGACTGAAGGGGGCGCCAGATATGCTTTTCTGGTAATAGATGATAAATCATATTTTAGTTGGTTGTTTTTGTTAAAGCAGAAATCTGAGTGTTTCCCCACATTCAGAGAATGGGTTGCCCAAGCTGAAAAGCTCTTCGCTCGGCCTGTTGTGCAGCTGCAAACAGATAGGGGCGGAGAATTTCTAAACAAACAATTTGGGGCATGGTTGCGACGTAAGGGGATCACTCACCGTTTGACTAACCCTTATAGTCCTGCTGAAAATGGTCTGTGTGAAAGACATGGGTAGTCAGTAGCAGTCAGTAAAGGACTGCCTGCTAGTGGATGCAGGATTGGACCACAACCATAGGCTGTGGGGTGAGGCTCTCCTGACAGCGAACTTTTTGATTAATAGAACCTGGTCTAGCTCTATAAAAGATATTCCCTATCGTGTGTTGTTTGGGAAAGAACCAGAGTGGACAATGCTCTATAACTGGGGTGCTTGGGCACATGTAAATATTCCCAAAGCTCAGCGCCAGAAAGGGGGCGCTAGAGCGCAGAAACTGCGGTTTGTGGGATATCAGTCCTATGGCAAAGGGTGGCGTTTCAATTTACGCCCAGGACGCGTGGTTCTGTCACGAAGTGCAGACTTTGCTGACCAGGACAGATGGACTGCGATCCATGCCAACCCAGATTGCCTACTGCCCCTGCAAGTAAGAGAAGAGGCTTCTTCTCAGCCATTGGCAACACAGGAGCAGGATGAGGAGGAGGCACAGATTTCCCCAAAAGATGTGGCAATAGATAATACTTCTCTAGAGGAAGAGGAAGAAGAGCCAGAGATAAGGGGGGAAGAAGAAGTAGTTGTGCCTAGGCGCTCCCAGCGTTCAAACAAGGGTGTACCTCCTCAGCGTTTGACCCTAGGAGGAGTGAGAGTATGCAATGTGAGTTGTGTGGAACCACAAAGTTATAATGAAGTCTTAGACTTACCCCCTGGAGAACGTGCTTTGTGGGAACAAGCTATGAAAGAAGAAATGGACTCTTTTAAACGTAACAAAGTGTTTGAGGTCATAATGCCGCCACCTGGTGGCAGAGTGGTGTCATGCAAGTGGGTTTACAAAAGGAAAACCCTTGCATCTGGGGAACCACGTTTTCGAGCCAGATTAGTAGCCAGAGGGTTCACTCAGATTAAAGGGGAGAGTTATGATGAAGTGTTTTCTCCCACTGTAAAGAGTGAAACTTTTCGTTTAATGCTTTCCATTGCTGCTGTAAGACAACTAGCAGTGCACCATTTTGATGTTGATGCTGCATATCTGCATGCAAATTTAGACCATGAAGTGTTAATGAGACAACCCCCCTGGGTTTGAAGAGGAGAATGGTGCAGTCTGGCGTTTGAAAAAGGCTGTTTACGGTCTCAAACAAAGTGGAAGGTGTTGGAACCAGTGTTTAAATGAAGCCCTTGTAAAACTTGGTTTTAAAAGGAGTGTGGCTGATCCATGCCTGTACACCAAGGGGACAGGCAACAAATATCTAATGCTCTTAGTCTTTGTTGATGATTTGCTTGTAGCAGGGAGTTCCACAGATGAGATCCAGAAGCTCACAAGTCAACTGGAAAAGAGGTTTAAGCTTAAAGCCTTAGGGCCTGTAAGCAATTACTTGGGAGTAGAAGTAAGGCAGGAAGCAGATGGAAGCTTCCTATTGAGCCAGAAAGAGAAAATTCTTCATTTGATAGAGCAGTTTGGCATGGAAAACTGCAAGCCAGTTCAGACTCCCATGACACCAGATTTCCCAAAGACAGTGTGTGCTGATGAATTTGAGTTGTAGGATCACTGTTGTATTTAAGCCAGTGGTCAAGGCCAGATATTGCATGTGCTACAAATGTTCTGCGCCAACGTATATCTAAACCCAGTACTGCCGATTGGTGTGCTTTGAAAAGGCTTATCAGATATATAAAGGGGACATTAAATGTATGTTTAAAGATATCTAGTACACAAGACGAAAAACTAGAAGTATTTGTTGATGCGGACTGGGGAAGCTGTGTAGCTACCAGAAAATCTACAAGTGGAATGGTTATGATGTTTGCCAATTCCATAATTGGATGGAGGTCAAAGAAACAAGGATTTGTTGCGACCTCATCCTGTGAGGCAGAATATGGGAGCCTATCGCTAGCATGCAATGAAATCATGTGGTTTATACAGATACTAAAAGATCTAGATTGTAAAGTAGACTTGCCTATCCAAGTGTATGAAGATAGCCAATCATGCATTGCATTAGCGGGCTCGGAAATAATGAAATCCGCATCAAACCATATTGCTATCCGTCATGCGAATGTGAGAGATTGTGTACAGAATGGGGTAATCAAACTGGAGTATTGTCAATCACATGATAATATTGCTGATTTGTTTACCAAGCCTTTGCCAGCAACATGCCATAATGAATTAATGACAAAACTGGGTTTATGTATATAATGTATGTATGTATGTATTGTTTCTGTTGGGGTTTTTCGCATTTAAGAAACAGAAGGGGTGTCACGGCTAAAATGGCCGCTGTTTCTTTAATGCGAATAAAGCTGGGTCAGCATGACTCAGCGGCCTGCAGCAGGTTGTATATATAAGTGAGAAATGTTAGTTTGTGCTGAGGCTGGTGTTTGGGTTGGTTGGTTAGTGCTGGTGTGTATAGTTATTCAGTTGTGTTTTGCACAAAGACTTTTAAGAATAAAACTCTGCAAGGATATTCTTCTGGATTCTTTTATGCCGACAAGAGTCTGAGGACCAGGCTGAGGAGACAAAGGGAGGTCAGAACCCTTTCCTTCTTTTTTTTGCTTTTTACAAACACTGACAAACTAAAATATATTTGTGCCTTTCTTTTGATTCACCCATCCATAATCTAGGTTTGATGAATGCCAGCCACAGATTAGGCCATCAACTTGAAATACATCTTATTATTAACTGAAGACTGAGCGTTGCAAGGTAAAAAGAATGATAATGGGGCAGAGCCATCGCTCAGTGGTGGAACAACTGCTTTGCATGCATATGCTTCAGGTTCAGGCTCCAGGTTGAGTTGAAAGAAACTCCTGCAAGAAACCCTGGAGAGCTGCTGCCAGCCAGTGCAGACAGTCCTGAGGTATATGGACTAAAGGTCTTACTCATTTTAGGGCATCTCCCAATGGTCCTATGTGTACAGATTAAAATATTAATGGGGAAGGACCTTGCATGCAGAAGGTCCCAGGTTCAGACCCTGGCATCTTCACATAGAGCTGGAAATGCATTTAGTCTGAAACCCTAAAGAGTCACCATTAACATGGACCAATGGATCTGACTCTGTGACTCCAGGAAATGCAGTTTCCTATGATCCTAATGATAAACCAATATTGCATATTCTTATTACGAGCCAATTATTTGTGAATTTCATCAGCATCATGTGT